CCTTCATCTCATTTCATGCTACGTCATTGCTTCGTGTCTGACGTAGCAAGGGGCAGAAACCTTACCCTTGACGGATCATTTCATTGCGTTTTCGTATGCCATTCCTTCGGTCTGGCGTACTTGGCACAAAACCTTCATCTCATAAGTGCGACGACCTGTTGCGTCCTAGCACTTTCGTTATCATCACCATTACCAACACCATCGTCTTTCATCCAGTGTAATGTCCTTCATGGACATCCATCCGTGATTGCGCGAACACTTTGTCAGTGTCTTTTTTTTTTTTGTGTGTGTGTGTGTGTGTGTTTGTGTGTGTGCGCGAATTCAGATGTTTTGAGTATCATAGCTTGTTTCTCTTTGTATTGATGGTCTATTCGAAAGGTTTGTTGTGTTGTGCTGATAAGCAATGGTCGCTGCTTTTGCGCAATGGTCGTTGCTTATGCTGCGGCTGGCTTCTCGCGTGCAAGCCCGTTCACATCGTATATGTTTTCCGCATCTCAGGAAACCCTAAACTAAACCCTGAACCACTCTTTTCTTGTTGCTCTGCCAGACCCAGGTCTCATAGACGTGATTGTCAGTGTGGAAGGTTTGAGGCCTCGGATTTCTATTGCAAAAGCTGAGTTGACACACACACACACACAGACACACCAAACAAACGGAATAAGCTAAGTCGAAACATATCATAAAGGTAATTATATTGAGCCCTGAGCCCTATAAACCCTGATCCTGGTTTGGAAGGTCACTGGCACTGAGCTGCGGGTCGCTTGGCGCGCATAGTTCTTCTTATCCTGGAGTTTCTCGGGGTTAGAGCATGTTAGATGATGTTGTATGATAGTGTATGAGACTGTATGACATTATGTTATATCATATCATAGGGAACTGGGGTGAAGTGGGTCTGTGTCATGTTTTCAGAAAATTTACGGGCTCAAGGTTTAGAGCTTCCGGGATACGTGTGTTTTGCATGCGGTTTGAGGTTCAGAGTCTTGCTTTTGGGGATTCGAAGTTGCAAAAGGATAAAGGATGATGGTTTGAGCAGAGAAGGTGTCGGTCCAAACAAAGCCGGTACGAACAAGCCGGTGCTGGATGGGTTTGGAGTTGAGGGTGCTTGTCAAGCCATTGCAAGTACTCATGAACACCACTTTATTAATGGTAAATAGATGGAAAGTAATGGCAGCCAACTGTACCAGACACCCATTCCTAAACATAACGAGACAAACCTTCTGTCCTGTACCGCCACCGCTATCTCGTCCAAGCTATCGCTGAGAAAGTCGCAGGACTTCGGCTTCACTGCCGTCACACTACACTACCGCTATTTCTACTATTGCTACTACCCTACGACCACCATTGCTACGACGACGACTACTACTGCCTCTATTACGATTACAGAAACCTCAGCAAGATCCATTGTGTCGAAAATCACAAGAACGGACACTTGAAGCCGATTCCAGTCTTAGCCATGCCTAATGCGACAAGAGAGAGACATATGAAAAGACCCAAGAACGAATGGGGTGAGTACCTGTGTTTTCGGCTCCATCAAAAAAATGAAGTACAGACATACTTGAAGCAACGCGGCTTCTTGATGCAATTTTGCACTGTTTCCCGAACGAACGCAGAAACCCTGGCAAATACAGCTTTTGTCAAGAACCCATTTCTAAACAAAGTTGCGTTTCCCTCTCGCACCGGGGGAAGCTGTTCTACTGCCGCTGCCACTGCCATGATGACGGCAATGACGACTACTCCTCTCCGACTCCCACTCCCACTGCTCCTGCTCCTGCTGCTGCTATTAAGGTTAATAATGTGCTTCGACTACTACGACGACGACAACTGTAACAGGAAGAGGAGTAGCCATAAGAACTGTTGGAGGTCCACATTGCACCGCTGCCGCGGCCTTGCGATGTGCTTGTGTCGAAAAACGAGATCCAGGCGTGCGGCGTTGGGGCTTGCAAACCGCACGCCCTCAACTTGAAACCTGAACCCGACACCGGACAGGAGTTGCACGGGTCGTAGCTGGGACTGTTCGATCAACTACAACCTTGTGGTGAGTTCTAGGGCTTCAGCTGACTTGCCACAAAGGTGCCGTTACAGCCTGAAAAGGCAGCCTAATGTAGGGGCATAATTAAATATTTACCAGTTCTATGTTGGGGGTTCCTTATCATAAATATAGTAGCATGGGCCTCAAAACCCTATTCTAATCATGAAGGCCCCTATATTTAGAGGATGCATACTACAGGTTCCGTGAGTAAGTAGGAATTGGATCCAGCACTGCACCAGCTCCAGGGCCTCAGGGCCCCATCTCCTCCCGAAGCCCTACACTGGGCTTTTGCCATACTCTGGACCCCATAAATAGATCCCCAAAGTGGAAACTTAAGTTAAACTCCTTCAGAGGAGCCCAGTAAACCGTGAGCCCAGAACCACACGAACAAATCTTGCCCACTCTCCCAAAAAGCCTGTCAGACCACCACACTCAACCCCAAAACGCAGTTGTACCAACCCGACGGCGCTACTCAAACCTCAGCCGAACAGAGAGCGCATCCTGAAAACATGAAGCGCACAGCTGAACCCCCAAAGCCGTATACCCCTGAACCCAGAACTCCCAAACCTCAACCCTAAAGCTCCTAAACGCTCTAAGCTCCAAAAGCCCCTGAACACCCAAACTCCAAAACCCCTAAACCACCACCCAAGCCCGAATGAGTCGGAAGCTTAGGATCCCGAAGCTCAGTGATCGAGCAGGTTTCCCTGGCCGAGGCGGATGTCTCGAACCCACAGAGGCCATGCAGGGGTTCGTGTGCGTGTTGAGGTTCATGGGTTTAGGGTTTGGGGGTTGGGTTCGAGACGGGGCCGAGCCGAACCCGTCGATGAGCTCCAAAATTCAGCCACGTAGCACCAAGCCCGAAAAGCCCCAAAGGCCTAGAGGTGTCAGAGGTTCGGATGGTTTGGAGTCGGGTCAGAAGCAAGCAGAGCACTAAGGGCCCCCAGCATGCTCGAGCTCAGGGATTCAACCTGCGAGCTTTTAACCCTTGGGAGTAACTTCGCTCACTAGTCGGGATTTGCTGCCCATCCCATGACAAATTAAAGAAAAGGCATGGTGCCTCCTCTGGGTGAGATGACAAAGAATAGACCGGTCTTCTGGTGGAACCGCTGCATCTTTGTTCGCTGCTCGTGCAGCGATTTGAGCAGCCTTGTTTCGGCAGTTCCTTGTCTGCCTGTTTTTGATGCCTAAACCCTAAACTCAAACCCTGATGTCGGCGAGGAACTTTCAATATGCAAAGACTGCAGAAACCTGAGAGACCTAAAATTCCGACCTGCCCCCAAGCCCTGAAGCCCTGAACTCTCCTCCCTGAAGCCGACCAGTCTAAGCAAGCTTCCCCCAACCCTCAAACGGAACTTCAAGCCGGACAGATGGAAATCCCCAAACCCAGCACTCCCGGACCTCAGGGTATCGAAAGTGTAGAGAACTCCTGAAGATCCGCGCTTGTGATTGGAGTTTTAGCAGGGAAATGCCAAAGCCCAAACCCGTGTGCAGGTGGCGGCTTTCAGGAGCCAACATCATCCAAGGAGCCGGCGAAACTGCTACGTACCACCGCCGCAGGCCAAATGAGCTTTGGGCTTGGGGTCCCTAGTCTACGGTTGATTCTAGGTTCATAAAACTGAAATATATCTTACTTGCTGTAGGATTTAGACTTCAAGGTTTTGAAGGATCAGGAGATTTTGTTGCCGATTTGGTGTTGAGCGTTTCTGACCCTGAACCGCACACAGCCGGCCTTTCGTCTTGGCGGTGTCTTCGGCCATGTTCATGTGTGCAAACTCCACGTGCACTTGAACCATTCCCAAATCTTGAGCTTACTCTTGCACCCTGCACCCTTGCCCTCAACCCTAAACCTTACAATTACACTTACACCCTAAACTAAAGCCTGCACCATATGCGCTACAGTAATTATGCCCTAAACCCTCGATGAATCTCCCTTAAGGGTTTAGGGCAGTGTGGGAAATACCACAGCCGCCAGGTGGGGCTACTTATTTCGAGCCAGCCTCTAAACGCTCCAACGCGAAAGCCATTAGGCGCCTCAGCGCCCAAAGCTTGCGGCCTAGGCCGGAAGAGTATGCAAGCGACCAAAATTCCTAAGTACGGGTCCTAGCGTCAAAAAGCTGCCTACGGCCTGCACATTTGCCCAGAAAGCTGCCGGAGCCGATGGTTTGTAGCTAAAACGAACATGGACTCTCAAAAAGCACATCAAAATAACACATTTACCCTCAAGCTCTACGTCTTTCAGCCCAGTGCTTTGTGTTGTTCGTTTCGGGTCTATGTTGGTTCAGGCAAACTATACATATCCCATCCCCGGCGGACCTACATCGCGAAGACGCCGCTCTCCACCGGCTCCTGCATGCAGGGCTTGGCGTGCGCAGCACCTCGGAGCGGGTCAGCCTGTCTGCCACTCGGCAGGCCTGAGCATCCCTTTTCTCTCCGAGCTGCTGGTAGCCGTTGCTCACTGGCACCTCACAAGCTGCCGACCTAGCTCGTGATAGCCTTCGTGCAGCTTTGCACTCACCGCCAGCCGAGTTGCCACGACACAGCGGTCTTGTTACCACAGCCCCACACTTCCTTGCGGGCTACGGCTTATACCTCAGCATGTCGACCGACCGCTTCACCAGCCGCTTACTGGATAACCTGAACCCTGGGCTTCCCCAGCCTCACACGGTCCCTTCAACCCTAGCCGTTACTAAGCCGCGGCGCGTTTTGCGCGATGTGGCATCATCGCCAACTCTGTCAGGATAGCCTGGAAACAACAGCTAGCCCAGGATGTTCCCCCGTCTCCCTGGGGGGAGGAGGAGCTGTGGGCTAACCTCCTACCCGAACAATCATAGTCAGGACTGTGCCAGAGCTACGCCAGCAGCCCTGCAACAAGCAGACTCTGACTGGCAGCCTCATCTTTCAAGTCCGTGCAGCCCCCGCACTTCCACCAGAAAACTGGAGGGATGTAGCCTGGGAGGACCCCTGGCTCGTTTCGGGAGACCCCCGCGCCGGCCACCTGCTCGCACCCATGCCCGGCTTTGATCCCCCCCGATTTTGCCCTGTTTGGAGACGGGGGTTTCTTCTCTGCGCTTGGAGCCAACTTCTGGGAAGACCGGCACTTATTGGGATGGCTTCCCAGCGCCTGCTCGGCCGGCTCCCTGCGAGATGGCGCACGTGCACCTCCTTCACGGTCCATTTCATCCCCTCCAGTTACTCTGTTCACTTAGTTAAGCGTCCCCCTCTGGAGCCTCCCGCGGAGGGGGCTAATGACGTTTACGGAAGCCCTCTGAGAAGCTGGGCGGGGAAGAGTGGTGGTGGCCGCAGCTACAGCTGCAGGTCGAACCCTCCCTGCCTCAACTATACAGGCCACATTTCGGAAATCAGGCTTAGACGCGGTGGACAGGGCCCGGCTGTTAATAGAAGCGTTCTTTTAGAGTTTGTTGCAGGGCTGGAAATGCGGCGATTCAGCAAAGTGTTGAACCCACAGCTTGAAACCTCACATAACTTATATCAAGCAAAGGAAACCTAGACTCCTGTGTGACAGAGGGTGATTCGACACAAAGCCCTCAACGCCTGCATCCCCAATCCCCCCTAAACCCCAATAAATCCCTAAACACCCGAATCAAGACATCCAGAAGGCGTCGGACCGTAAACCTTAAACCCTAAACTCCTCAACCCTAAACGGTACACCCCAAAACTCGGGGCACGAAGGTCGGAGCTGGTGGTCACCACCTGCTTGGGCGAGATCCTCGGAGGACCCATCGAGGTGATCCCAGCCGCACCTGAGAAGAAGGAGAGCCTTTCGGGCGTTTGGGCTATATATAGAATTATAGGGGCTCAGGGTTTCAAGATAAGACACAATAAATATAAGAATATTAGAAATATGATGATATTCAAAAGTATCAAAATAATTGATTGATATTGATTATCTATGCTATACGTGAATTCTACGTTATTCAATAAATAGGGATTTAATATTGATATTATTTTACGAAATATCTTTCTTGATAGAGATCTTACGAATTTTTCTAGAATCAATTTTAAAAGAATAATTTCTTATTATTTCTATTAAGATAATATTTTATATGAATTTATATGAATTATTTATATCGTAAATTCTTTCTAGAAGATTAAAATTAAAAATAACATATTAAAATGATAGGAATATTTAATTTTATTCATATTAATTTCAAATTAGAAAATTAATTAATATAGGTCTAAAAATATTGAATATATTTAGAAATAGAAATTATTGAGATATTTAGAAATTTTCGTAGTTTTTATCGAGTTATTAGGAGTATTTGCTACTTTTGAAAATCTCATATAGAGTCGTATGCACGTTTGGGATCATAGAGAGGCATATTATAATATAATCTTCTATATTTTATGCCGTCGCAATTATTTCATATTGAATTTGTATTTGTAGTGTAATTATAATATTGGAAATCAGAGATTTTCTTATAAGTAAGGGGGATCTAGATAATAAAATTTCATTTATTCGAGATCTGGTATATTAGTTGAAGATTGATTTATAATATATAATTATAGAATTTATAAAATTATATACTCTATTCTATATATATATAAATAATATATCTATATTAGATTATTAGTAATATATTAGAAGAACTCATATTATGGAAGCATCTTGATTTCATTGAATATGAGTAAGGATATTTATAGAAGAGGGATTGGGGAAGTGGGGCGATGAGATAAACCCGTCGAATTATTATAATCTCAGTAAATAGCTATTTTATATATTTTTTTTGATATTTAATATCTATAGTCCGCTTATTCTTAATCCATATAACGTGCCTATAGATAACCTCATATGCAAATTTAGGGAAAAGATAGTAGAAGAAGGGAGAATATTTGAATGAAAATTAAATAAGAAGAATAAAAGAAGAATTAGTTTCCACTCCTGAGCCTTAAATCTTCGACCATAAAATTAGCCCAGCTCTAAACCCTAAAACCAACCCATAAGACTCAACCTTAAATCTTAACTTCGAAAACCAACCCACAGACCTGCCTAATCATAATATACACGGGACCCCGAACCTATATTTATTTATAAATAATATATATATATATAATATGCAATATATATATATATATGAGAGAAGCGCCTCTAGGATCTATTTGACGATTAAAATAATTAAAATCGGAAACCCAGGATTTCAATTCGGGAAGGCCCCAGATAATTGAAATAATTAAAATCCCTTCTATCTTCA